AAACGAAAAGAACGCGAAGGCCCATCAGGGCCTCCGCGTTTTGTGCTACCCGAAACCGGGGAGTGCGGCGTGGAAAAGGCGGTTGACCGGTGCTTGCGTAGCGCATCACGACCACGAAAATTGCCTTGTTATGATGTTTCTTTTCTCTTCAGACATATCGATTATGATTCCTATCACTGTAAGTGCCAACGTTTTGCTTGACAAGCCATGTATGCGGCTGTAAGGTCAAAAAAGTTTGTTGCCAACATTTGATATTACGGTATGGTCGGTTTATCTGTAGGATGGCAGGCGTCATACAAATGAGCGAAACGTGTGTGGACAGGCACAAACCGTGCCATCCAAACCGACCTTCCGTAGATCTTTCGGGCAAATATTTCTTTTTTTCTCGGGAAAATCTTGTTGGAGCAGTTGACCAAATACAAGTGCTACGGTCAGGTGCATTTGCCCTGAATTGACCCTGATTTGGTGGGTCTAGCTGATGCCCTCACTTCACCATCCGAATGTCCCGAGGAACTGTGCTTGGGAGACGTCTTCCAACTGACGGAAGCCTGTCTCGGGCCTCTGTGCGAAGCATTGGCGTCGAGCAAGGGCGTTCGTCTTCTAACTTCACCATACGGGGTGACATCTAGGGCCAAGGAGTCGCGCTCTGCCAGATGCTCAGGGTCAACCGATCCATCAGACAGCTGTTGTTCAAAATTTTGGACGACAGGGACGCGGGCTTCTGCCGAGACGTCTTCCTCGCCCTGGCTGCTAACGACACCATCACGAACCTGGTCGTCCGCCTGGACAAAATATAGAGGCCCGAGGCAGCGAATGCGCTGTCGTACATGTTCGCTCACAACAGGACGAGAACAAGCGCCATGCTTGGGTTCGAAGCCGCCCATCGGGCTCAGTTCGTCAAGGAGGTTTCCCATGGGATGTCGCTCAACGGGGTCATCGCGGAGCTCCAACTCCTGAGTAAGAAGGTTTCGTGCGACGCCACGATCTTCCCGGCGTTCGAAGCCCAGCGAAGGAACAGAACCGCTTTGAACCGAGCCACGGACTTCGTGCTGACGCACCGAGCCGACAGGCAGCTGGACTTCGAGCACTTCTCGGGGCATTCCTGTCTTCTCCGTCACCTCGCAGCGGTCACGGGCAAAACGGAACCGGAAGTGCTGGCGGAGCTCACTGCGGCCGAGCATTATGTCGAAGACAACTATCTGGTCCTCACGGGAATCGTCAAGCACTCTCTGATTTGCCGGCCGGCTGAAACCACACAGCTGGACGCGCTCAACGCACACTGTTGGCACGCACTGGTGCGCCATCTGAAGGTTACTGACGTCTTCAATTGAACAAATATTTCGTGTCAGTCAGACGTACCTTTTTTTTAATCCTTGTAGAAAACTTTCTGTTTGTGAATCCTTAAAATATTGCTTGATATATAGTCTTGAAAATGGCCTCGTTGCGCGTATCTTATTCTGATGCTGAAAATAGTTCTTCAGTTAGTAACGAGGGGCAATACGCTTGTTTCCTATGGAAGCTTTAGTTTGACTCATCTTGTGTTCATGAAAAAATTGAGCTTAATAAGAGTTATTATGTGAAAATAACGGTTATACTTGAAAACCAATCACACGGGAGCCATTTGGTCCCGATATTTTGCTGTATGATGCTTTTTTCATTAAAATGTGAATGAGCAATCATGATTCTGTTGATACGCTATATAACGCTTTTATTTTATGAACGAAAAATTCACTACGGCGTCTCATACGGCGTCTTGTAGTTGAATAACGGGTGTGTTGTTTCGATAACTGTAGGGAGGTCACTCAATAAAAACTTCTGCTGATCAACTTTTCGAATAGTGGTATTCATATCACGCCAAATAGATGAGATTGCACTATATAGCAGCTACTACGGCACTCTTTTAGCACATGGGTGAGTTTGATTGTCAGAGTTGACATGTGCACTTACTTTGTACGTCAGAGCGCATATAAGCAGAATTGTTTCATATGAAAGTTTTAATTAGGCAATAGAAACCTTCGAGCAGGGTCGACAGAAGCCAGTCGCAGCGTTATAACACTGTTATGACTCGTCGAAATCTTTACTTTCTTTACAATGTTTTTCATTCCTGTCCGACATATTTCAGTTTGTTACTCAATAAATGACGCTGTTGTATCGCTATGGTTATAAATAGGTGCTAAATAAATTTGAAGTCACGTCACATGGTTTATACAAGCTCTACAGGTCGTTGTTTGAATCTGAAGCCCTGTCCTTTTTTATCTTTTTATTTATCCTTCGTCAACGTATGAAGTCACCACCACCATTATAATCATCACTATCGGCACCATCGTAATCTGATCATCACCATCCGTTACTGCATCAACATTGTCTGTAGCTACATAGGGGCACACATTGCCTTACAGATGCTGCAGTGGGTACTTCTCTATTCGCAAGATGATTTATGGATATTTCGTACTTTGCAACCGCATTAGCAGCGTAGGCTTCCTAAGAGATCACAACGCCTTTCGCTTACGCCTATGAGAGTTCATGGCGCAAAGAGGATAGAGCAGACGAGCCAAACATTTCTTTGCCGAATATGGGCTGCGTTGCACTTCCGCATCATTTCGGTATTGCACAGAATAGGTATCTATTGAAATAGCGCAGTTCCTTTTCAAACTTGATTTACAATTGATTTAAACTTGATATCAGGGCGCAGCTCTTGGGTGCCCGTTCTCGCGGTTGAGCGGCATCGCCGTCGGTGGCGATGGCGTGACCAAGCATAAAATAAGGAAAAGATACTTGGGACCGAATGGGATTTGAACCCGAACTCTATAGACAAATTCCACCGCACATATACCACGAAAATGTGGTGGCGCTGTCGTCGGGCGTTTGGTTTTGCTTGGTAGGCAAAAGACGCTCTGCCTGTTGCAGTTCCTGCCGGGTTTGCGATGGTGCATGTGGTTTTCTCAGTCAAGCAACGAGAAAAAAAAATGGTATGCCGACAAGCTGCATCACGGTTGGATGTGCTGAAAGGCATAAAAACGGCAGCGTAAGTTTTTATTGGTTTCCACTTGACGAAATCCGTCGCAAGAAACGAGCTGCAGCCGTAGGGAACTGGGCCCCGACGCGGGCTCATCAGTAGTGTGCACTGCTGATCAGCAGCACTAAAGCTCCTGAAGTAATTAATCACTGGCAGGAAGCAGAATGTGATGGCGAGTCGCGTCTCACAATATCGTTTTGTTTGTTAGCACACCTCGCAACCATCAGTGCTTATGGCGCGGAGCATGGAGTCAGACTTTCCCGCCGAAAATTGTGAGCAGTAGTTATGGGTGGACGCCGCTATAATTTTACTGATAACGTCGACGTCCGCCTGCCTGTGTAGCGTCCAGAAAAAACTGGCCAGGATGTGCAAAAGCATCACAAGATAGAAGAAAGATGCAAGCGGTGTGTGCGGGCAAAAACTCAATTTTCACAAAATGCGCGACGTCTGTATATACAGTGTATCAGATATTTCTCTCCTGAGGTCGGTCCTACGTGGGCCAGACAGACCGATGCATTAATGAGCGCATGAGGGAACATCGTAATTTGCTGCCAAAAGGCCCAGGAGGGCAAGGGCCTTTGTATTGCACGAGGTTTGGCAGCGTCTTGATTGTGGGGAGGGAACGCAATAAAATGGGAAGAAAAATCGGCGAAGCTTTTCACATCTGGAAGTTCGGCGCTGAATTGTGTTAGCGAACCTTCGGCTTATATCACCGATAAATAATTTTAGTACCAAGAAGATCTATAAATATCACATTTAGCACATGTGTTAAGGTGCGGCTAACGTAAAGAGGGGGCTGGGGGATGGGCGTAGAACGTGTTAGTATGGGCGTAGTGTGTGCTAGTACTACGTTATGCTATGCTACACATGGCTATGCTTGCTCTCTTTTTTATATTTTTGTTGCATTTGCTTTATTGTGTCTTTTTACTTATTTGATGGTTCAGGCTTTTTCTCTGTTTCCTTGCTTTCTTCCTATTTCCGACTTTCGCTTTTAGATTAGGTTAGGTTAGGTTAGGTTTGGCATAGAACACCAAGCATGCGTCGTGGTGTTCCAGAGAATATCGTTCTTTAATACACTTCAGTTGTAAATGCAGCCTTGTTCTGCGTGTTTTTCTCTTCTTTACTCCCGTCTGGAACTTGCTAAAACCCTTTAATTTCACACCATGTATGAACTAGCTCAGAAAATCACACTAAATAATGACAAGTCCTAAGATGTAAATAATGACATCCAAGCCATTGAAAACATGACTTAGATGCCAAGCTCGCGGTACGCTAGCGGCTGTTTTGCTTGATCGATACACAAAAAAATTGGTATTGCGTGACGTGGTTGTATGAAAACATGAAAGATGGGCTCTGACATGTAAATAATTACAAACACGCTATGTACATCATAACTCTTGCCGACGGCTTCATGTAAGGCCCCAATACCTGGGAAATGCCGGTTTTTATTTATGGCAGTCGTCATTCGATGATTCAACAGACCATTGAAGATCGCCGTTGCTATAAAATTGTCGCGCAATAGAGTATGTAATAAAATATAGTATACGAGTAATTTAAATACATGCAGCGACTTGTAAGTCGACGTGCACTCACACCGACGTAAATAATTTTTGGGCATAGAACATGTATTTAGCCCCAATACACAAAAGTGTGTTCAACGTACTGCATATGTCATGAGAATGATTGAATCGCACGTGATTAGATTCTGTGATCATGGGTTCACGGGAGAGGCATTTACCCTGCAGTGGGCGTAGTCAGGCTGCTGCTGCTGCTGCTGATAAGTTTGTGAGCACGCGCCCCTCGGGAATCTAATCTAGTGCAATGATAAAAAAAAGTGCTTTTTTTTAATGGCGAACGCTCGCCTATGCGCTGTATCACGCGGTCATTTTATCAGAGCGTGCATGCACACTCGCCTAAAAACCACACGCCGCATTGAAACTAACGTATCAAAGTGACGATAAGGATGTTCGTCGACAAAGATTGATCACGGGTTCTTCGCTTCGTGGTCCTCGTAGATGTGTTTCAGTCCCGAAGCGTAGTAGAGTAGCAGCAGGTTGATGTTCTTGAGCCGCTCTTCGGCGGCGGCAGCTTGCGCCACCGATCCCGCATCGTTCGGATGTGCCTTGGCCCTCGCTTGCGCCTTCTCTCGCTCCTCTTTCTCCCTTTCGTACTCGGCTTTCACTCGGTGGTACTGCGAGGAAGTAAGTCGATTAGCAGGAAGCGTTCTCGGCGAGGCCACCTGTATGACTCCGTTAGGAGCAGATTAACTTATGCGCGTTGCACGTATTAATTTTAGCATACTCTAATACTACAGCGCGAAGGGAAAATAACGAAGACGAGAAATACAGGACGAGCGTCCGGTTCTTTTTTGTTGTCTTTGCCCTTCTCTCTTAACATAAATATTTTCAAATATGTTATAACAATTCGCCCAACTTCCCATTCTCCTGAAATAGTTCCCCCCTTTTGTTGAGGTTTTTCGGTTCTTCATCAATATATTGTGGTGGCTTAGTGCGTATGACGTCACGCTGTTAAGCACGAGGGCATGGGTTCGATTACCGGTGGTCGCATTTCATGCATTTAATAGGTTATTGTGCGTTTTAGCATAAAGTTAAAAAAATTGGCCCCATACCTGCGTGCTTCACTGCAAAGGACGTAGAAAGACGATAGTTTATTGTCTGGAAACACTGCGTGACATCTGGACGCCATCTGGCAGTAAGGTCAAGAAACGAAAGTTTTCTAGAAGCATTTAATATAAGTAACAGCGCTGTGTTGTTTTAGCGAAGTATAAGAAAAATCCTCTCTTTCGTTCATCGGGCCCTTGGTATTATCTGAATACACCTTCACTCTAATTCAATAAGGATGCCAACCACCCTTACTGTCACCTGAGTCATGACATGACAGCATCTGATCATAGAGTAGCTGCTTACGTTGCTAGGTAGGTGTTGAGTGGAAGCAAATAATAACAGCTGCCACCGGTGGTATCTGTCGCCCAGGTTGACTCCATTGTGTTTTATTGCAATAGCAATAAGTAAATATCCATTTTAAAAGCAAAGGAGCAGATTACATAATATTCAAGTGTTGATGTTGCGCCAAAATATGCATAATTTTTGCTTTTTTATTGACGATGTTCACTAGTATGAACGCAATCGTGCAAGACATTAAGATGTGTAGTCGCTCAACAAGGGCCTAAACTTTCGCTCTGGTAGCTCACTCGATTGACCCACACACACACACACACACACACACACACACACACACACACACACACACACACACACACACACACACACACCACACACACACACACACCACACACACACACACACACACACACACACACACACACACACACACACACACACACACACACACACACACACACACACACACACACACACACACACACACACACACACACACACACACACACACCACACACACACACACACACACACACACACACACACACACACACACACACACACACACACACACACACACACACACACGCGCGCACACGCACACACACACACACACATACATACATACATACACACATACATACATACATACATACATACATACATACATACATACATAAATACATACGGACGGACGGACAATCTTTACATCGAAGTATCCCAAGAAAAACTATCGTCTAAAATGCCCAAGGCATTGTCAGGGACAGCTATAACCGGCCGAGTTTATCTGCCAGGGTGAACTGCATTTTTTAATTGTAGCGGCTGAGCATTATATATTTCCGTCCCCTCTGTTTTGAGCGCGTTCCCTGCTCGCCATGTTCGAATCAGCGGATCAATGTTCTGAGGAAATGTGCTCCGGCATCGACGCCCATGGCGTGATTATATAGAGCCCGCACAAGTTAAAGGCTTACAAGTGCGCCAACTGTTTCATTCTCTCAAAGAGTTTCTCGCAGAGCAAGCTGTTATGTCACAGAAAATCTGTGCTGTTCATACTGCAACGGTTGATAATAAAGTAAATACGGCGTTACTCAGAAGTAAACATTATCTAACGATGGAACGCCCTAACTTGCATCCGAACCTATACAATGGTGTGTCTTGATTTCTCTCCGATGCATATGCGACCACAGTGGCCGAGAATAAGGCCCACGCCCTAATGCTTAGCAGCGCCATGGTGTTACTGTTGAGCTGTACTACGACTGGTCGCACCATAGAGTTTCTCAAAATTAACTAGAGGGCACTCTGGCGATGCGATCGTTCACCGACAACGGGAGTGATGGGTAGTACACACATTTACCTAGTCTTCGTACTTGCGGGCGGCGAAGCGTACTTGCGGCTCCGTTTATTGCTGTGTTTCGGTTTTGTTTTGAATGAAAGATTGAACCCTTTTGAACTTCATGAGCCAATTTGGAAAGTAAGTCTAAAAAATAAAATTGTGAAGCGCAACCGCTGAACATTTGCTAATACTTGTTTCGTAAGAAAACATCTCCAAGCCACACGAACACACACAGAGCCAAGAGCAGGCCAGAAGTACGGATATGAGACAAATGTGTGTACTACCGATCATTCCCACGCTCACTGAAGCGCCGTGCGTTGCAGCTCCCATATACACTAGCGCAAGAGTTCCCTCTAGTAAGTATTGTGGGAATCTCTATGGGTTGCACAAAGCCTAACCCTCCAAACGATTGCGAGGACGTACCACCTGGCGCACCCGCTCCGTGCGCGCGTCGGCTGGCAGGTCCCGGTGTATGTTCTTGGCCTCTTCGACGGCGACGGCGTACATGCGCAGGCCGTACTGCTTCGACTCGAGGTACTTGAGCGCGCGGTTGAGGCCGCTCGCCGTGTCCGACATCTCGAGCTTGCGGAAAAACTCGCGGTCCGGTTCGGTCAGAGGCGGGGGAGGAGCCTTTGGTTGGCCACCCTGTTGGAACGCGTTCGAATATACAAAAGAAAAAGCCCTTTGATCTTTCCTGTGAGCTCTGACTTAGCATACACGTGATCCTCTTTCAATTAAAAAACATCCAAGGTTCCTTAATAAATCCACGGAAAACGACTGCAGGGTGAAATCTATCTTTTTTTTTTCTCAGTCGATTTCTACACCGCCTCGACGATCGGAAGCACTACAAGCTTTCTGAACCTCGGCGGTTTTGCAGCGCCATGATACGCGATCACTGTTGTGTGAGGTACATGACACTGTAGTGACGTCACAAATTTTGGCGATCTGTGACGCCATCACGTGATGACAATTTTTGGCATCACTCTTGATGACCCCACTTACCATCATTTTTGCGTTTGATGAGGCATCCAAGAGTTTACCCTTAATAAGTTGCGGCTTTCAGTAATAGAACTGCAATAAGTCCATGAGCAATGCTGTATTGGAGGGCTCCGGATGCACTGCCCACCTGGGGATTTTCAACCTTCACCCGGTAAATCTCGGTACACGGCCATCAATAATTTCACCTCCATGGCTGCCGAATTTAGACGGAGGCGAGAACCATGATCGCTATAGACCACCACGGTGACTCTTTCGATAGACACGTTAACTTTCTTTGGTGTTCTTTACATGCTCGTAGTACACTCGAGATACCCCAAAAAGAGTTACCACGTGTCTTTATTATGAGCCACATACGGGGCCGCGCAGGACTCGCCCATAAGTGCAACATAAGCCGTGATGCAAACATTTCGGAGACAGCTGACAGATAATCTTGACAGGCAAGATGTGTGAGCGCGTCAACTTTCGTGCTGAGATCATCGTCATTGACTACACTCGTTAAAAATGCGCTCATTTTTTTCCCGGTGGACACACGTTTTCAGATATCTATGTAACTGTAAGCTGTTTGTGCTCAACTGTACCTTCCCTCTCTCAGGCATTCGGCAACCATAGCTTGTGTGGTAATATAGATGGATTCAGAAATACGTTGGCCGAAATTTTGTAATTTTCTTACTTCTGTGCTCAAAGAAAGAAGTAACACAAAATGCGCGTAAAAAGAAACTCGCCTCATTTGTTGCTACTTGAAACATCCTTGGTGCCATGAACATCTTCGCTTTCGGGCTCATGGTGCCTTTTCGTCCGTCCTTAAAGGAATCGAGAAGGGTGTTGTGGTAAAAAAACGTGAACAAAAGAACTAGCGAACTAGTCCCTACTTTGGCCATTCGAACAAAAGAAATCAAAACATTACCGAAATTGCTAAGCCAGAGAGACGGGATACAGTGTTGTTTAGAAGTGATGAAAGATCTTCGAACACTTGGTGTATAGCTATGGCTAATGTTTGAACAGGTGGGCTTGTTGTTCCAGCGAATGCTTGGGAAAAGTTGCTGCCTAGAAGAAGACAAGACCGCTTGTCAGATGATAGCCCTAACAACAACTTCCTTTCAAACATCACCTTAAGCCCACGTCCATTAACCTCGGAAGGCTGTGATATCGGCGTCATGCGTACTCTGGTCTACCGAAATTGGTGGCGGGGGTATTTAATGCGCCGCATATGGTCTGGGGTTGCCCAACTACGAGCGGAGTGATAGAACTTTAAAAAAAGAAAAATTGCAAACATAAATCTTTTTGGCTAAATTTTTGGAGGCATATGTGGCAGAAAAAATGTGCTAATATTACTAACCTTCAAACACCTTACACAAACACTTTCAACTAATATGTAGACCAAATTTGGTGTAGAAAAAGAGAGTGGTACTTTCAAAATACTTTTTTTTTCAGAAACAACACCCAGACGAGATTCTGGGAAGTTCGGAAGGTACCCACGTGACAAAAATTTTTTTCTCTCCGAAATAGTTCAGAAACTCAATATTTTCAATGAAGGAAATCAGCATGATTTTTTTCGAATGCATTTGAGATCGTCGCCGAAATGGCTGGGACGTTTGGCGTTGAATGACCCTGTCACATTTTCTGCGTGCACTTTCGTGTGACTCACGCTCTGACGAAAAAAAGACCGTTTACATGGAACGATGCCAGTAAGTGAGGCGGCCGCAAGCTTGACCGAGCCTTGGTACGACGCCTCCTCGGGGTAGAACTTTTCGCATCTAGATCGGCCCAACTGTGGCTTTGCTCTGCCTGCTGAATTGCCTCCTGCATGCCTTCTTTTTTTTTTCATCGCATCGCCAAGCGAGGTGGGGGAACAAAAACTCGTATCGCGTGGCAGCTGGTATACTTGTTATTTCAGCCTCGATTGATGTACAAAGCACAACTTCAGCGCCCCATTAAAGTAGAATGAGCGGGATCGCAAAGTCAATCGTAAATCCACACGTGCAATCATAGGCCTTCCGATGTTCACCATGAATGCGGCACTGCAGGTACGTAGGTACATGTCAATACACTGGATGAGTTCATTCACTAAAGACGCAAGACAAAGATGCTAACTAAATGTTCCTGCCGCCGCTACCACAGTACATGGACCCTGAATCTCCTTTGCTTGATGGACCAACGTTGTCAGGTCACCCGTGAGATTATCGACAAGCGACCACCAATCAGTCACTTGGATGCGCTCGTCAGGAGGCGAAGGTTACACTTTCTCATATTCTCCATCACTCCGCTTGCTAGTTTCGGCTTCTCTGAAACTTATTAGAAACATATATGGACGCTAGGTTGACATGTATACTGCGCACTTCCTTAGTGTGCCCTCCTAAATCCCATGTGGACCAGACGTGTTCCTACTCGTTGGACATCCACATTCTTTCTATACTATCAGTGATAAGAGCTCTCTGTGATGACCTTGGCCTGTCCGCAACCTGTCCGCATACACCATCGCGTTGACCAGTCTGCTGACTGTCGCTTATCTGAGCTCTGTTAGTTTGCTGTATTCGCCAATGTAGTGTTCAGGCAACATGCCGCGGCAGATGCCGCATCCTGTGACAGTCGTGTACCCCTTGCCTCTGCTCCTGTAAACCTCCTGTAAACACGCGGTAAATAGCATCGAAGAGATCGTGTTTCCCTGCATTTCTCCCTTCTTGGTTAGGATTCTGTCGCTGTCTTTATGGAGAACTATGCTGGCCGTGGATACACTGTAGATTTATTCCAGTATGTCGTAGGGTTCGCCGATGCCCCGATTCCATAGTGTCTGACTTACTGCTGGTGTCTCGACTGAGTCAAACGCCTTCTCGTAACTTACCAAACCTATATATATGTATAGAGCTTGGTTGTATTCCGCGCATTTTCTATGTCCTGATTGATGGTATGGGTACGGTCTATTGTGAAGTAGCCGGTATGAAATTGTGCTTGGTGTTTTGGTTGATTTAACTTTAATGTTGCCTTAATTCGATTAGTTATTATTTTTGTAAATAATTTGTAGAGAACGAACAGTAAGTTGATCGGCCTGTTCTTTTTGAAGTCCTTGGCGTCTCCTTTCTTAAGGATTAAAATGATGTTGGCGTCCTTCCAAGATTCTGATACTCTTCCCGTCAAGAGACTCTTCGTATATAAGGTGGCCAGTTTTTCTAACACTATTTCTCCACGATCTTTCAGTGAATTCGTTGTTACCCTATTCTAACCAGCGAATTTCCCTTTTTTCATTCCTTCTAGGGCTTTCCTTACTACCTCTGTCGTTACTGGTAGGATGTCGAATTGCTCTGGACTATTATTGCTTCTTACAATATCATCCTAGTTGTTTCGGCTTCTATACAGCTCTCTTTAGAACTACTCCGTCACATCAACTATCCCATCTATATTGGTTATGACATTGCCCTTTATGCATACATCCGATTTTTGCCTATGCACAAATTTCCTTTCGAAGCTTTTTACGGCCTGCCCAATTCGCCCATGTTATACGTTCTGATGTCGGCTACCTTGTGCCTATGGATTAACTTCGAAAGCTCCACTAGCTCTTCATTGTAGTTGAATTTGATGCTTTCGTGGTTTGTCGTCTATTAATGAGATTTTTCGTCTCCCGAGATAGTTCGCTAGTGTCCTGTCTAGTGACTGTACCTCCGACTTCCATTCCACACTCTTTGATGATACTAGTAAAATTATCGTTCATTGTGCCAACGCTAACGTCGGTTACCTCGTTTAGAGCCTCGAATCTATTCTGAAGAGAAACTCTGAATTCTTGTACTTTCCCTCACACTGCTAGCTCATTACCTGGCTTCTTGCTTATAAGTTTATGCCTTTTCTGTTTAAGATATAGGTGAATACGAGCATCACCATTTTATCGTCACTGCATCGGATTTTGCTAACTACTTCTACATCCTGTACAACACCTGAGTGTGCACGCAGAATGAAGTCTATTTCATATTTAGCTTCGCCAGAAAAAAGTAGCGTGTACTATGAATCAGAGGGACAAAAAATCTAACCTTTGACATGTACTTGGCATACAAGATGTGCAAGATGCACGCATGTACAAGAAGCACGCACGGACCAGAGCCGAAGGAATATACGGCTCTGGCACGAACGTACTAGCTTTCGCAACAAATGACATATATTGAGGAAAAAGCACGGTAAATGGCAGAGGGCAAATTGGGTGCACGACAAGCGTTGATTTACGACAAGCCCAGTTTGCGCTCAGCAACTTATTTATGGACAAACTTGCCAGCAACAAATTTTCATGAACTAAAGCAGCTGAGAAAGAACACAACACCGCTTCGGCAAGACTTACTTCGTCTTTATCTAGAGAGGGAAGAAAATAAAAACATATACTTGTATTAGAATCGAGAGCGTAATTCAAACGTTATTCTGTGTTTTCTGAAAACAGACAAAAACGGGAGCTTCTAGAGAGGAGCCGTACCAAAGAAGGCGACAAACTCTTACCGGTGTCGACGGCGTCCTCATCTGGCCAGATTTTCCTGAAAATGGAGGGAGCATGACCAGATTTGAACAGTATTATAGCTGCTTTGCTGTTTGAACATTTTGACATTGAGTGCTCATTTCTTTTTTCTTGGTATACTTATGGCCTAAGAAAAGTGATTTTCGTTCACGCAAACTTCCTATTTAGTAGTGCCTTATATCGAAATGTTTTGTTTTTTTAACACTCAGAGTGGTCAAAAGTGGCACATTGCACATTATACCCCAACGGAGCACGCGGACGAAAGTGATCGGGCAAGACGCATTGGTTTTTCAGTCTAATTTGGATGCTGTCCATATTCAGATCATTTCTGCGTTTTACAGTGCAAATGAAGAAATCAAAGTCGAAAATATTCTGCACGACCAATGAAATGGGTTGAATTGTCACGCGGTGCTGTTTCACTGCTACGTATACGCACTGTTTGCATAGCGTCTTCTGCTGCGCCAGGGGGCGGCACTTGCTGTGCACGATCATGTTGCACACCTTGCACCGACATCCGTAACCCAGCCAAATCTGAAACAAAGTGAAAGTAATAGAAAGATTATGGGACACTCAATTACATCCAAATTCCGCCAATTACGAAGAAATGCGTTGTGCACAGAGTGGCGTTACAAAGGTTGCGTTCTCATATCCCAATGCGTATTCGATACGCTGCTTTTGATCATTTTTAGGTAATATTTTGAACGCTTAGCTGGGCGTAATGAATGTCTCAGATGTTAAGAATGTCTCGGGCGTACTGAATGTCTCGGATGTCTCAGTATCGCTACAGTATCACTTACATGAACACTATTTAAGCTGTGGATGATATGTGGGGTAGGCTCGCAGCCAGAAATTTTATGCTCCATGGGGGGGGGGGGGGGGGCACAGTTGTTGAAGGTTTCGAAACTAACCACCTTTATTATCTGTACTGGGTAAAACACTCACCTCCATCCTAATTTTAAAGGGGTGGGGGGGGGGGGGGGGGTAAGTCAAGACCCGCAGGGCAGAAACCTGGCTACGGACCTGATGTGGGGCATTACGTGCCAAAATCACCATGTGATTACAAGGCACAGCTTCATTTTTGGCCATACTGAATTTTATTAATTGCGCACGGACAGTGCACAATACGTGGACTTCTGACGTTTTACTTCCATCGAAATGGGCCCGCCGCCGTCGGGGTCTAACCTACGACCTCCGGACGAGCAGCAGCTGAGGAAGATTGACACCCATTGTACAATAAGGAGTCAACAATAGGAGTGTTTCTGAGGTTTTATACTATGAAATGTGCAACATCACGCCTTTTGCTGCAAATCATATATTGCGTTTGCAAACCATGGCAACTATGATCTTGCATTCAGACCTTATGAAAATTGACGATAGTATTGAAACACGTCTTGGATTTCGCAGTATACACAGACAAACAATGGAAACGAATACTGAATATTAATCACGTGCATCTTTTAAGCACGCCGTCCTTACCCGGTTGTCACAATACTTGCATACGATGATCTTCTTCAGAGTAACATCTTCGAACTTATGGGCCAAGTTTTTCGGTGCTTGAGTTTTCATAGTGGACGACCTAGGTAGAGCGTAGAAGGGTCACATACAGGAAGCGCGTCTTGAGCATTCAAGTTGAAGTTTTGTTTTGAGATGAACTAATATTTCATTACTAAGCTGCACTTTAAATGTTCGCTTGGTTTGATTATGCAAGAGTGAATCTTGTACGAAAAAATGTTGTGGCATTTCAAACAGCAGGCCAAGTTACAATGCATCTAATAAGGAGAAGACGTTTAGAATCTGCAATTACAAAAAAAAAGTCTTGCAGATAACTGCTCTTTCAGAAACAAATTTATTGCGATTTCAAGCGCTGTCTGTCAAAACAACTTAAGCTGATACATTTGCTAAATTTTTCGGATACTAGAAATTCATGACGGCCGAGAATACCTTTGAACGATCGACCAACTTATGTGCTTCGTTCTCAAAGTTTAGAATCGTAGTTACGGATCTGTTCTATGCAAGGAAAACGGCTGTACGCGCTTTCGTCTAACGAAAGTGTGTTTCCAAACATTCCCACCGACATAACGTGTAAAAAGTATAAGAAGTGAAATCCGTCAGAGAGGTAGGCAAAACTTGCGTAAAATGAGGCGCCTGTTCAGCAAAGTAGTTAGGATATCGGTGATTAGGCTGTCAGAAGCAGTCACGGGAGGTGCTGGTAGCGGCTATCACTGCTATAGTATTGTTTCCCTTAGTTAATGTTGTGTTAAGTTTGCGTACTGGTATTTTATAGACGATCTTGGTTAATTTATCTCTACATATTCCCGAAGCCGCTAGAGTATCCCGAAGACAGTGGCTTTGCTTACAGCATGAGAAAGTGGGATTGAAGAGACGCCGATGTATTATTACACCAATGAGTGCATGCTGCCTTACCAGCTAGACTCTAGTCCCATCAGGTCGTGCATTTCTTCCACGTCCTGCTGGGGACCGCCCCTGAACTTGTATTCTCCCTTGAAGACGAAGTGAAGCGTAATGTCGCCGTAACACAGCCGCGGGTCGAAACCATTGAGCGTGGAGTACTTGTTGAGATCCCTGTTGAGAAAATTCAATTGTTGAAAAACAACACTAGCAACAAGACATTCAGAACCAACTAGCCAAATCAAGAAACTTAAGCAACAAAAAAGCACAAAAGACGCACCGTTTTGCGAAGTTCTCTGGAAGTATGAACTACAGGCTACATGCGCTATTGAGTAAACAAATATGATTGTTACATCTGGCTCGAAGGTGTACAAACGAAAAGACGTTCCGGCTGTGAAAGCCTCCGCTGGAGAAAGCTAGCAGAGGAAGTCAAACCTATAGTATGATGCAACGTTCAGTTATTACGCTTTGAAAAGAAATCGTAGGATACCCAGCTATTCACGCAGTGCGAAAGGCTCTGTCACTAGGTGTTTATAACACATTGCTCATGTTAGTCTGTTTTTTAGCAAGTGACCAACGCTTGACTCGGGCGAGTTGCCTCATGATATATGGTAGGTAGAACGAAAAAAGCTCACAAAAGAAACCAGAACAGCGTTCTTGCCTATCTCTGAGTTTTGCGCTGTACTTGCAAAATTCACCAAGAAATGAAAATTGACAGCCATCCTTTTGTAGCATGTAGCCACAGCGAAACCCATACGAATATCTCAGAAAATCTTTAGTTGTCGAAATATTTTATTTTGTCTACGAATCGAACTCAGGTCCAGCGCTTTTCAGGGGGGATCGTTCTTGAAGTTGAGTTGACCAGTGTCACAAACGAGTGCTGAAACCACCCTCAAAGAGCTCCAAAACACGGCGCCAACCAGGCTTGCACCACAATTAGAGGTGCCAGCAATGGTAGCTTTTCTGAAGTGTAACCCTCTTACCTCCTGCACAGACCACGCCGGCCATGAAAGCGACCACCAGGCAATACGGCGCGTCCGTCTCCACAGAACAACAAGCTAGAAAATTCTAGCCCTCTCTCTAGCTTTCTCTGTGCTACGTACAGATGAGTTGTATGGATTATTAGCGTACTCAGCTGCAACCCGAATATAAGAAACATACATGTTGCAAACAATATGTGGCCATGTGCAACAAGTTGTCGTAATAGCCCCTGCAGCGGCCAATTGCTATTTCCTGGTCAACTAAAGTCGTAAAACGACTAACCCGGCAATGCGTTGATCCCGGGTTCGATCCCTGGACCAGTACAAATTTTTTCGGGAACTAAGAAGCTTTCTATCTGAGAAATTGGTATTGACTTCCGTGCGTCCTCATGCTACAAGAAAACGGTGATCCATTTCCCTTCGGCGACGCTTGCGCCACCTTGCGGGATTAAGCAGAACTCACTTGACTTGTCTTTCTAGCAATGACGCGATCAGGAACCCGTCTACAGGTGCATTTGTTCGCTCACTTGGGCAGTTGTTGGAATTCGGGACAGAGCAACTTGATCACCGGCCCAAAGAATCCTTGCGTAGTCTTCTGACATTCGTCCAGAACGTACGTGAGTGGGATGCTATTCTGAAAAAAAGTGTAGGCAACAGCAGCGTGTCAGGCGTTCCCCGGATAATAGATTACACGCAAAGAGCATTATCTCGTTAAAAGAAGTGCCCAACGCGTCTGAACTTATGTGCGCTTCATTCACAACTTCAGGGGAAACTTGCTAGCTGTCGAATTCAAGCTCGGACAGTGACAGTCAACGGTAATACTGTTAATATCATAAAGGAAGCTAGTAGCCAAGACTATGCTTACATAAGCCAGCATGGTGTCAGAGGGTCTCTTCTTCATGCCGTGAAGGCTGATGATCTGGCCCTTGCTGAATATGCCGATGTTGATGTACTTCAGGTTGTTTTTTACATCCAACGTGAATTTTTCCAGAAAGACGGGGTCCTTGAAAAAAAAAAAAATGACAGTTGTCGATTCTCGGTAGTTCTTTCAACGGGCATGGTATTATTCAGCATTCGTAAGCGAAAATGTCACACAAAACTGCACTTATTAACTCGCGCGTTTAATGAAAACTCGCTGTTTTCATCTTAGAAGACTGGGCGTGCTAACACGAACACGAGACAAAAGTTGATGCTTGATACGTGGGGTTTAACGTCCCAAAACCACCATATGATTACGAGAGACGCCGTAGTGGAGGGCTTCGGAAATTTCGACCACCTGGGGTTCTTTAACGTGCACTCAAATCTGAGCACACGGGCCTGCAACATTTCCGCCTCCATCGGAAATGCAGCCGCCGCAGCCGGAATTCGAACCCGCGACCTGCAGCGAGACAAAAGTCAAGACAGCATAAATGGTGCTTATGTTTTGTTCTGTCTTATGTGTTTGCACGCCCAATTCTTTAACATGCCTGCCTACCAACTAGCTCAGCTCTTCATTATTCAGCACCAGCATTGTTCTGTGTTGACAACAGTTGACCATGCCTAAGACGGCGGCTCATAGTCATTGTAAAGAAAGGAACAAAGTCCTATAAGCACAAGGGGTATTCGTTTCTGTTTAGGCCAGTGATCTCAAGCACGTAGCCCACGGGCCGAATTCAGCCCGCTGACCTTGCGCTTTCGGCGTGCGGCTGGCACTTGACAAGTCCTCGTCCAATTTTTTTATGACATCAGGAGTGTTGGTGACAACGCTAAATGGTGCTGACATTACTTTCTCGCCTATGGTGAGTAATAATGCTTCGTACGGGTAAGCTACAGAAACGTGACTAGTGTTAAGCATTATATTTTTCGTGAACACCCCATGAGGCCATCTTGCATTGAAACATAACTGCTGAACAAATTCTCCATGATTCAGGATCGGCATCCGATTTAAGTCATTCTGGAGATCAGTATCGATATACTTTTCGAGTCCAGAAGGGCGATCCGCTTCAGAAATGGCTCATATTTAAAATAAATGGGAATGAGGTTGCTTCAATGGGCGACGTTAGCTGACTTTTAGTTTAGACTCCCCACCCCGCATTTCCCGGGCACTGCCGACTTCTTCACTGCCCCGGCCATTTGAACGATTAGATTTTGTGACTGCGCTGATGTGAGTTTAAGATTATTGGTTTATACAGTCATCGTCAGCTGTTCCTGCTTAACATTTCTGCCGTATTTTGGGAAATTTATCCCGACTGTATTGGGTAAAAAAAAACACTTTTTGTAGTTTTCAGAATACGCAGTGGCACTTACTCTGGTTGAGAGGACGAACTGAGTCCGCTCGATGGGCTGGTTCTTCGATTTAGCACGGGCTTGAATCTCCTCGCTGTCTCCAATTCTCTTGATTTTTTGAGCGCCTGCGACAGTTGTATTGTTCGAACTTAAACTCACAGCAATGCACAGAATTTCCGTCACTAAGACAGGAAGCAGTACTTTGAAGCAGGAGTTCTCCAGCATGTTGCACACAGGGAAACCTGCTAAGCACCACTACGTGCTAAAACCCTGCCCCCCTTTTTCCCGCTTTTACTAAACTTTTTTTCCCCGCTACGTTCATGTGCACTACATTCAAAAACAGGAATATATAAAAAATAATCACCGGCGTGCAACTGAACGAAGATCACGCGTTTCGGTTATGCACTGAGGTGAGCTTATTGACACTCGAGAGTGAGTAATGGGGGTTGCTTAGATGGATCGCAACCAGGGTTCGCCATCTAAGTGATATGCTGCGTGCGAAAACATCAAAAACAAATAAGTGACTCGAAGAATTCCGAGAAGAATCCTGCGGAACCCCTTTTTGGAAGTCCCTTAGACGAATCGCAACTCGAGTTTGCCATCAAAGTGATATGCTGAGTGCGATAACGGCAAAAACTTATCAGTGGCTTGCAGAATTCCGAGAAGAAGCGTGCGGAAGCCTCTTTTGTATAGGTTCCTTAGATGAATCGCAACTCGGGTTCGTCATCTAAATGTATGTTAAGTGCAAAAACCGCAAGAACGTATCAGTGGCTCAAAGAATTCTGAGGAGAAACCTGCAGAATCCCCTTTTGTAGGTTCCTAAGATGGATCGCAACAATCAGTGGCTCGAAAAATTCCGAGGAGAAATCTGCGGAATCCCCTTTTGTAGGTTCCTTAGATGGATCGCAACTCGGGTTCGCCATTTAAGTGATCTGCTGAGTGTGAACCCACAAGAACTTATCAGAGGGTCGCGGAACTCTCTTTGAGAAACCATGCTTTCAAGTATTTATCGTTTAGTGACCACTCTAGCATCAACGCTTTACAACATAATGCGATGTTTCCCATCGCTAGGAATAGATAATCAAGGTACGCGCTTGTTGCTAGCGCTGAAAGACATCGAATAAGCGGCACGAATGAGTTCATCGCTCAGCCTTAGCCCTCTGCTAGAAGCATTGGACGTGATAACGGAAATAAAACTGCTGCAGATTTAACGCGACGATACGCAACTTTCGTTATGCCACTCAGCCAAGTTGTTTCCTGGTAGGCACCTCCGGTCAGTGCTCAACTTTTGGTCTACATTACCTCTTATTTTAGTATTGCTGAAGCCTGTTAGCTTAAATAACAAGGAAACAAGTTCAGTAACGTAGATTTCTAGGTGACTTGGTTCATAGTAAAGGAAACAAGTGTACCGAGCAGGCTAGCCAGCGTCGTCTTTGTGGTGACAATAGAGTTCTTTGTCTTGGTGTCCTCCATCGCGGATGTTCCAGGAGCGGGCGCTGACTGTTCACCAGGCTAAAAATAAGAAAAAAATAAAACGAGCAGTTTTTTGTGTATTTTGACGTCAGAAATATGGCCTTACATTTTCTTGCAGATGCGAACGTGCACGCAAAATATGGCCATGTTGTGATGAGCACAGAACCCACTTAGTTAGTTTATTAAAATTTTTATAGCAAGACGAAGTCGACAAAACAAAATACACGCAATACCGTTCACACAGCCTGTTTAATGCTAAGAGTGTGATAGCGGTGCCCAACGAAGGCAAACTGATTTTTTTTTTCTGACTGTGCTACACTGAATATAGAAAAGAAACTGCAGACAATGAAGTTTAGAAGTTATGATCACTTAGTTTCATATGTTAGCATCTAACAAAAAACAAAAAAAAAATGATGCCTCGATGTATTCCCGTGCTTGGAGAGAGAGAGAGAGAGAGAGAGAGAAAGAGAGAAAGAGAGAAAGAGAGAGATGCATGCTAGTAACTAGGTGCGTGAATACAGCGATGACGTTAAGCCTTGTTTGGGCCACTGTGTTTTTAACATTTCCTCTCTAGGGTTTTGACGTTTTACTATAACAAGGCGTGCGTCTGGCCCTGAAGCCCTATTGGATAGCTTGCGCCGCATCACTGGGTGCGTATACTCGAACACGCACATTTAGGCAGTTTGCATATCTCACTGCATATCTGAACTGCATATCTCAACTGCAGGTGCATATCTCAACTGCAGACCCTGCTGCACAATGTGCAGCAGGGTCTGCAGTTCAGATATGCATGCACTCTTGGTCAAACCCGGGGAATGAGTGCGTGTTGTTGCGAGAAAAATTTTACTATGTTATCATATGTAGCACATTTTTCCTGTTTTTATACACAATTTGTCAACATTTGACAGATTTAATTGAGTGTCCGCAACAGCTTTGTGGGCACCGCCTGTCGTAGGAAATGGCTGGCAGGCTGCGTACGCAGAACTGCTACGGATGCCCAACTAAGTCTGTCTATTATTCCTTCGCCGAGCGTCCTACAGTATGCCTTCGACTGTTCTGACGTAGAACCAGCAGAAATGTGTTGCGGCTGTGTATGTGCCATCCGCTCAAACATCGTGCAAACGATATCTGTCACAGTCGGCCACATTTGCCGAAGAGCAACCTCGAAATAGCAAACAAGCAAACGGACTCTGAGGCAGGTTCTGAGGCAGAATCGGCTATCACTCATTGTGCACGCTGCACCACTCATGGTTGCAATGACACCGGATTACATTTACTTCATTTTGGTAGTCATTATTTACGCTGAGTTGACTGACTCAATTTGAAGTGTGAAGCTGATTTTGTCCCAGTTTACATCGTTTAAATTGTTTACCCCTAAAGGAGTAGGTGGTGCGGAGTGCGAAAAAAAAAAAAAGCTGAGATTTACTACACAACTCAGCTAAGTCCCACATCCCAGCAATACATGACAAAATTAGCCTGGCGGTTTATGAGAACAGAAAGAAAAGTATGCCGCTCTTCGAAACTGATTTCGGAGCATACCTTATGGGGTTGGGCTTGTTGTTCCTGTGCGGCTTGTTTGTGCCATTTGAATTCGGACTTTCTCTCGACTTTCATGGTGACTCTGCATGTGAACAGTTGATGTTATTTTATCCATACAAGTTGCACGTATGCCTCCAGTACGTGCTTCCTTACTTTTCACCGTGCTTGGCCAAGAGCTTGTAGGCTTGCTTGATTTCTGTGACGTCTGTGCCTTTGATCGATACCACGATGTCTCCCTGAGAGAGAGACAAAAAAGGGTTACTTAACATACCTTCTCACTGTTATAAAATAATCCGGGCTAAGTCAAGCAATCACTCAAATCTTTATAGCAATAAATCTTTATACATCACTAAAGGGCCACTCACCAGGATCTCAAAATACAAAAAAAAATGAAGCGCAGTATTTTCTCCTGATACTTCTAGTGCTTCTTGAGCACTCCTGTGACACAGATAGTAGTTCTCGTGACGTCTATAGTGCACATGTTCTCGATTGGTCCATACGCGCGAGATATGAAATGTGGTTTGTCTGCTTCACTGCTTTGCCATGCAGCCACCCATCCATTCTTTTTTGTCTCGCATGTTTATCGTGCATGATCAGCCGATCACACCTCATTTTGTGTGTTTGCAACCGTGCAAGCGGCGTTAAGAGCGTGCAGCCTAGAAACGGGAAATCCTGATAGGCTCTAGCGCTCAGTGCTGTCATTGTTCACGTGCTTTTAGGAACTAAGGGGCGAGGAGGATACATCGCGTCTGTGAAGGGTAGCGAAGGAGAGCACAAAACTTTTGAACGCGGGGAAGGATGGGTGAGGGACCCTTTAAAGAATGATGCTTCAAGGGTAAGATGCAGCAAGATTTGCTGTAAAAGCAGCCGCGGGTATGTTAGAGACAGCAGATCAGACCGTTAAAAAGGGACAACATAAACGACAAAGCCGAGATATACCCCACTATTACCTCGATAAGTCCGCCGGCTGCGAAGGGCGAGTTTGGCGCTATAGTGTCCACGACGACACACTCTCGAAACCTGCCTTCGATTAACTTCTGTAAAAGAAAGAACAAAGCGTGTGCTTTCGTACGTGCAATCTTTAAATATCGTACGTTCACTGCGTACTATGTACTCACTCATTCTTAAGATCCAAAACATTTATTGCACGTAAGCTATGAAAAGTAAAAAAAAACAAAAAATAAATAAATAGGGTCAGCATTAAAAGCACGCAGTCAGCGATGTATTGTAGAACATAAAAATTATCGCATCGAAATGCAAACAGAAAGAAACGACTATTACAACAATACTGATTGCTGGCCTAGTTGGTACTTGCTTAATGACATGCGTACGCCGCAAATAACACAAACACAAGTAAAGGAACACCCAACCACAAGCACATCCACAACCACAAGCGCCGCTTGTGCTTGTGGTTGAGTGTTCCTTTACTTGTATTTGTGTTGTTTGCGACCAAAGCATGACTATTATAACAGTAACTGAAAAGGAAGTATATAGGCTTTGCCTAACGCATAGTGGGAGCCCGGACAGATTTTGGCTAGAGCTGACTATGGTTTGAGAAACGTCTGAGAGCAGTATTCTCTCTGCCAACACAGTATTAACAAATTTCACTGCTATGCCTCTGTTTCAGTCCACTGAACGCTTCACCCTACAGTACTAAGGACACAACCTTGGCAAAAGTTTCTTCATTTTTGAGGTGGTGTGGAATCTGGCAATTCATTTTTATTAACGACGATGTTGAGGAAAGAATTGAGGCACAATATCTGCCGAAGCTGAGACTGTCTCTCCGAGTTTCAGCTCAGTTTTACAGGAACGAATGAAAACATGCTGGCAACTTGACACCTGCTGGACACACACCAGTGAAACTACTTACCAGTGACCTTAACGCATTGTTGTAGCCATTGCTGTTTACCCAATGCTTACCTCCTTGAGTTCTACCCCAGTAGCCTGACCCCTCTCCTTGTTTATCTCTAGCTCGATGGGAATCCAGGCTGTGCCGACAATGTTGTCCACGTTGATCCACTGCGAATCCTCTGTGCGAGAAAAAGTTTGAAGTACATGAACTTAACGCTATGGAGGATAAACTCCTCAAATGCAAGAAATGCTGAAAAACGGGCATTTTTCAATTTTCGTTGAGGAATAAGAAAAACAAAAACAGCAGGGAAATCGCACTATAAATTCAGAGTAAAGCGATGCTTCTTAGACACATGCTGAAAAAAGTTATATTTTAATGTGCGGTTATCATGTTTCATGAATAAGAATCCTCACACTGTTGCCGTGTGGGAATTATAGGTGAAAAATTAACTTTTGGGGGTTTGAGCGAAAAACCTATGATATCATTATGAGGGACGACAACGCGGGAAAAACAACTTTGGCACCCAAACTTACATACTATAGTGCCTTCTGAGCTCCTCCGCTATCATTTAGGCGAGACGAAGAAGCTAATTATTCAGGCTTGTAATCATGCAGCCCGTGTTCATGGCTATGTTTTTTTTTATTTAACGTATATACGAGGTATTTGATGTCTTGTTTTTATAATGTATTCATTGCGTTCCCTCACTTTTATTTGTGGGCCATTCTAGCTTTTTAAACATGTTGTTTTTTCAATATTGCTGTAGCGTTATAAAGCTTTCTGAATGACGCACTAGAAGACTGTAGTCAGGTTGTGTGCACAAGACGTAGCCCACGTAATTGTGAACGTATATTTCATTGAGGGCCATCTGTTAAATTACTTTAAAATAGAACGGTTGCAAAAACTCTGCATTTTTGCACCGCTGGGTATTAATGACAAGAAAAAACAAACAAACAAAACGGCGGTTGCTCACCGATGGAGACCATGCAGTAGAGTTGGAAGGATCCCTCGCAGAGCACGATTCTCGAGCACTCGACCACCGTAACCTCGAGCTTGCCGCTATGACTGATCTTCTCCTGAAGCGGTGCCGCGATACGCAAGTTCGGCAGCAAGACGAACGGCTTGATGCGAATCTTGTAGCTCGGGATGGTGTGCTTGATGCGCAGCGTCCGCTTGATCTGTGAGGATCGGGAGTTCAAACAGAAATCAACTGTAGCGCTCTTACTTAACCGCGACATGCGGCGAATTCATGTATACTGTTGTTATGCTTGGTATAAAAGCGAATGCAATGAATGCGTAAGAAAGAGGGTAAATAGAAACGAGTGAGTTGACTTGCGCCCTGCGTTTTAATGCTGGCGTGCCACATCGGGACAGATAGGGAGAAAGAATTGAATGATAACAAAGTAATCAAGTACAGAGACGGAATGAAGACAGTGTTGGTGTCAGGCCAAAGCATAGCCAACATTGTAACCCAACCCTTAAATATTAGCCAAGATTGGCTCTGCTCAACTAGTTCTGCAAGTAAACGTGGTAATATAAGTAACGGGACTCAGTGCGATGCTAAGCGAGAATGAATGACTAGGATGGTTCTATACAACAGAGACAAACTGGTGCATTTTGGTTAAATTGCAGTGTCGCGGTGTCACGCAGCGGACCACGAAAGACTAGGTTCCTCAGAATGTTCAATATGTTACAATGCAACCCAATGTGTTTCTAATAGGTGGTGTTCAATGGTCGTGAGAAACCACGCGCTTTGTGATGCGATACTGCAATTTTACTAAAATATTGAGGGTTTTTGAAGTGTAGAACCGAAAGTCTGCCTTAATAAACATTTTTATTTCAGCTATGATTTTTTTTGCCTATATCTCATTCAGGTATAAAGAGAGTGCCGCGTGCAGATGTCCCCAAATTCTGGCAATGTGAGGTGGTGAACACGTACCGTTGACGAGATGATGTTAGCAATCTGTGGGAAGCTCTGGCCCTGGAGCGAAGATTCCACAGATATCAAGATCTTTGGTTCCTGTAGGAAAGGTAACAATTAAGGTTACACGTTACCGCCAGTCGGCACGTTTTTTTTTTAGAGTTACTCACAAGGGAAACACTCGATCAGTTTAATCTTGCTTTAAATGTTCGAATTTCGAAAGTTCGAAAAACAAAAGTTCACACAAATGTGTTTACTGCATAGGAAGTAAAACACACACACGCACGCACACACACCACACACACACAACGCACGCACACCACGCACACTCACACCACACACACACACACAACACACACACACACACACACGCGCCGCGCGCGCGCTGCGCGCGCGCGCTAACTGTCACTAAAACATGGAAAACTCGTGTGTGTCTTTCAATGTATTGCCGTCATTCTACTGGTGATATGCCACACTGGGGGTAGAATTATGCCGCACCAACGACCCCAACGATAATCTTCAGTATACATGGGCAAATCAACAAAAAGATGAAAGCGACAACAAGCACTGGAATATTTATTTACTTCAGCTGGACAAAAATACGTCCTTTGACAAAACGATGGTGACCTTTACAGACAGTCTCACACACTTTCGAATAGATAAATAGATAGGAAGGGGGGGCTTAGTTATTTAATTCTGTTTTGGAAGAAACTTAACTCACACTCTACACTTCGTCGATATCATTAGTTGAACCTCTGTACATCAGTTGGCTTATATATAGTAGGACCAGTAGAGGTTGAAAAGCTTTTAGGGTACACATTACGTCACCACTAGCGTCGCGTCAAAGTTCAGTTGAGTGGTATACATTTGGGCTGATCTTCCTTAATAAGACATGCCGCTCGATTCCGTTCAGTGCGTATAGCCCACCTCGTAGAAGGCGAATGACCAGTGCGTGTAGGGCTTTCTGGAAAACTGCAGGCGGCTCTTGGCCGAGAAGTGGTTCACCTTGACCGCTAGCGAAGCCACGCCGCCTATGATGAGCTCGGCGTCCACAGCAAGAGTCACACCACCGGCATAGTCCAAGCTGATGAAGATGTCCACTTCCTGATAACAAAACAAAAAAGAGAGTTGCTTTAGTGCAGTATTCACCAGAGGGACACTCCAATCGAAAATGCACCGCCAGTGCTCCTTGAAAAGTACTACAGCTATAACTACAGCTAAAAAAAATTGGGGGACACTTGAACTCGATCTTTTAAAAGTAGCACGTGAGAGCGTAATCGGGCTGGTGCGCATCAACTTCTGAATAGCTAGCCTGGGTTCTGTGCCATGTGCATACCTCAGCCGTGCCGTAAGAAAACGTACAACTGTGCACGTAACATTGAGGGTTTCAGACTATCTTTTATTTATTTTTAATTATTTTATTTACAAAATACTGCAGACCCATTTAAGGGCCCCAGCAGGAGGGGCAAAGATCATAACATCGCACACAGGTGTAAACAGCATGCTCTGTACAAGTACAGTTGTCAAGTTCCCACTACGTCATATATTTGTTCCTCTTGCGAAACAGCGAAAGGCCTACTGAGCGTCTGTAAGGCCAAGTACGAACCTACGCAGCTGCTCACGCTGTTGACGCCTGCGAGGCTTATCGTGATAAATTCTGTCTGATCGCTTTGTAATAGGTGGGCCTTTGAAAAAAAAAACCACGCGTTACGTAATTCAGTCGTGTGCCACGCAGTATTGCATGCATTCAATGAGCTCCTTTTATTACGGGACATTTATAAAGCGTCTATTATAGAAGAAGCTACAAGCATTAGCGCATGCGCTGTACTGTCGTGATCTCGTCTTTTGTATTCGTTCGAGCGCGGCTCCTATTTCGTTTCATTGTGAACCCAAGCCAACTCACTAGCCTTTGTGCAATGCATCTCTGCAGAAGCTTCAACTATGATTCACATAAAAAACAGCGCTGATAACGAGGGAGGGCTCACCGGCAATTGTTGACCACCCTGGGGTTCTTTACGTGCCACGACAAGAAAAGGAGACAAATTGTGCCGCTGTCTGTCTCCTTTTCATGTCCCTCGTTATTGGCGCAGTTTTTTTATGTGAATCATGCCGTACCAACTCGCTCAAGCAACCACATTAGCTTCAGCTATGGCTGTGTGTGAAGCCGACGTTTTTTATTAGGTTGTAATTAACCATATTGTGATAAGGATCTGTCACACTCGGAGTGCGAAAGGCTGGGGCAGTGAGAACAAGCATGCGGGGCAAACCTTGATTTTAATTGTATCTCATTAAGGCATGTAAATTATGATAATTGCGATGTGGTAGCCACGCAGTCACGATTGAAACGTGCAAATATATCGAATACCTCTTTAAATATAATAATAATCATAATATAATAATAATAATAATAATAATACTCATAATTAATAATAATAATAATATATAATAATAATAATTAGTTGTGATACAGTGCATTCATTCTTTTTTTTTTTTCTCGTCTTTGCGAGCACTGCGCAAATCAATCTCCTTACCTCTAGCGTTTTCCAAGTGTCATGTAGGATGACGTCATCGACAGATATCTTCGTGAAAGTAAGGAAATCGCTGCCAAGGTCAAACTCGCGTAGCTGCAGTAATAAATATTGGTGAAATGTCATGAACTGTTTGTTTATACCTGAGGTGATTAGCGTTGATCTGGCTATCTTTCAGCAGTTAATAAATACAGTGATAAGCTGAGGATATGCCATCGTATACATGGCAAGTGCATGAAACAAAAATAGATGGCGTGAGCGAGTGTAGTATAGTTGTCATGCGACCTTGCATTATTCAAATGAGGTGTAGCTGTAATGAGAAAAGTCAAGAAAGGGAAAGAAGACAACCAACCGTTTGTAGCACGAAACCAGAAGAAAATCCATACGAATTTCTCAGAAAGAAAAGCCTCTCAGTTGCTGAAAAATTCGTCCTGGTCCGGGGTTCGAGCCCACCGAAAGCAACGCCCTTCCGGGGGGGAGGGGGTTGCTCTGCCAATTGAGTTAACTAGAAAGGTAGCAATCGACCCGTCCGCCACCCTGCGGTTTTCCGCAGAACTAATTTGCGATTTGCAATACATGTGTCCATGTGCTTCGATTTGTCGATGAATTCGCCTTCGCGCGGTCAATTGCTGGCTGTGACGTATCTCAGTGACGTATTTCCGTGCCGAAAATACGTCCCTTAAATTTTGTTGGACCCTGCCATGAAATGTTTTCGAGTTTAAATACCTAAAATCGATTACGTTTTAGTGAGAAGCGTGCTGTAGGACATGAGGTTTAAAAGTTGAGACCGAGCCCCAAACATAGTGGCAGTACATTGACGCGACAACTTTTTCTCCCGACCTAACACAGTCATCGCTGTAAAACATCAGGCCTAATGCTTAGGGACCTCACACATTTGCGAAGTGCTCTAAATAGGTCGATATAAGCGTTTAATACATAAACAAGTCTCATTAGTTCTGAAGAACAAGCATAAAAAGGGTTGTGTGCGACCAGTACAGCTGTGTATGCGCGTTCACGTACGTCCTCAGGATGGTAACAGAAGTAGTATACGTTGTGAAAAGCGCCTCACTACATCCAGGCCCTGGTGAAAACGTTTGCTGAATCACTATTAAACGAAGAAGTTTCGAAGACTGTGGGCAAGTGCCTAGAGTAAAGGTTACAGGGAATATAACCTTCGATTTTCAACCAACACGTCCTTAGACAACGAACGCTAATTACATGCTAAAAATATTATTGCTGGCAACGAACATTAAGTGGGCCATGTCTATTTCCAATTCTAGACAACGAATAGATGCGACAAAGCTGCACAATAAATGGTCAACATGAATTACGAAGGTGGCACTATAATCGCGAATAATGAGCGGATCTTATCACTTGAAAGTGAATGTCTGAATGGGCTTATATGCAGGGCTTGATCTTTTTATTCAAAAGTGCCTTCAATTCTCAAGAGATAAGAGCTTCGGTCTGCGCATTGGAGTGACCGAAAAACCATCGGCCTAATTGGAGTACTCACTTGAATTCGCTCGAATATCTTTCCAGCGGCACCTCGCTGGGCTTCCTGGAGTCCCTTGCTGATGGCACTCAGAAGCAATCTGGAAAGGTTGTAACGGCACGCTCGTAGTGAACATTGCTTACGTAACGCTAAAATCGTGCGCAAATGGGCCTGTTGTTTTGTCTATCATACAAAGAAGCGTACGCCAAAGTTATGGATGATGTATGACGTGAATAAACTTGCCGTCCTATAGGCAGCGTTAAAAGGAGCGAGAATTAGCGGCAGAGATATTGTCACGGGGTCGTGACGTGGCCAAAGACAGGAAACTTCGTGTTGGGATTTAACTGTTTATTTGGGCGAACCTGTGCCCGGTAAAGGGAAAGTCTAATTACAGCAGCAGTCTTGCACAGATAGCAGTCTCGGACTGATAGCGGCGAACGCAGCGTCGGCCTTCGATCAACAACTGACAAGCGGCGAAGCGCGTCGGCATTTATACCCTTGCCGTCGAATGTTCTAGCGTTATCACTGGCGGTGGCGTAAGTTCCAGAACAATCTGTACCGTTCGCACAGTGGGCGTGATCTTATCAAAATGATCTACTACAGTCCGGAACCTTCTCGAAACCTGCAGGCGCGGTTTGCGCCGAGAATCGTGTGGTGTTTCGGAACGATAACAAAAACTTGTGGAATGGAACGTGGCATTGCCCCCCTCTGAAAAAAGGCATCGTCCCGATGCTTTAACTAAAGATGAAGGTACAATAATAATGCAAGAAAGTACAATGAATAAATTACAATACAACAATAATACAAAAAACACTGTTTCAGTTTGTTAACGTGCATGAGACGGCTTGAGGCGCGCGACATGGACGACTTCAGGTCGCGATCGGCGTCGTTGAGAGTTCGTGATGCCAGTCGGGGACAACCTCGTAATCAAGTGGTCCGAGACGTCGAACCACCTTGTACGGTCCGAAGTACCGTCGCAGAAGCTTTTCACTTAGCCCACGTCGGCGTATCGGCGTCCACACCCAAACACGTTCACTGGGCTGGTATTCCACGAAGCGTCGTCGAAGGTTGTAACGGTGGCTGTCGGTCGTCTGTTGATTCTTGATACGGAGACGCGCAAGTTGTCGGGCTTCTTCGGCGCGTTGAAGGTACTCGCTCACATCGAGGTTTTCTTCGTCGGTGACGTTGGGTAACATGGCATCGAGCGTCGTTGCCGGGCTCCTTCCGTAGACCAATTTGTATGGAGATATCTGCGTCGTCTCCTGCACCGCCGTGTTGTATGCGAAGGTCACATACGGAAGAATGGCGTCCCACGTCTTGTGTTCGACATCGACGTACATTGACAGCATGTCGGCGATCGTATTGTTAAGCCGCTCGGTGAGGCCGTTGGTCTGTGGGTGGTACGCTGTCGTCCGGCGGTGGTTTGTTTGGCTGTATGCCAAGATCGCTTGAGTTAAGTCGGCAGTGAATGCCGTTCCTCTGTCGGTGATAAGGACCTCCGGGGCGCCGTGACGTAGGACGATATTTTCGACGAAGAACTTAGCTACCTCGGATGCACTGCCTTTTAGCAGGGCTTTTGTCTCGGCGTAGCGGGTGAGGTAGTCGGTAGCTACCACGATCCACTTGTTTCCGAAAGCCGACGTCGGGAACGGCCCCAGTAGGTCCATACCAATCTGCTGGAAATGTCGGCAAGGTGGATCAATTGGCTGCAGAAGTCCCGCTGGCCTTGTCGGCGGTGTCTTGCGTCGCTGACAGTCCCGGCATGTCCTCACATAACGAGTGACGTCGGTGGTAAGACGTGGCCAGTAGCACCTTTCTTGTATCCTCGCGAGCGTGCGGGAAACACCGAGGTGCCCTGCCGTCGGATCGTCGTGCAGGGCCTGCAGAAGTTCTGGTCGCAAAGCTGAAGGCACCACAAGGAGGTACTTAGCTCGAAGCGGTGAAAAGTTTTTCTTTTGTAGAAGACCGTTTCGTAGAAAGAACGACGCAAGTGCGCGCTTGAATACCTTCGGGACTTCGGCGGTCCTGCTTTCGAGGTACTCTATTAGGGCTTTCAGTTCCGGGTCAGCCCGCTGTCGTTCAGCGAAGTCGTCGGTAGTTATCGTTCCCAAGAAATAGTCGTCATCCGAGTCGCCGGGTAGCGGTTGGTCGACAGGCGCACGAGAGAGACAGTCAGCGTCGGAGTGTTTTTTGCCGCACTTGTAAATGACAGTAATGTCATATTCTTGAAGTCTCAGGCTCCATCGTGCGAAGCGACCTGAAGGGTTCTTCAAGGTGGCTAGCCAACAGAAGGCGTGGTGGTCGCTCACAACTTTGAAGGGCCTGCCGTAGAGGTAGGGGCGAAATTTCGACGTAGCTCAGATGATGGCGAGGCACTCCTTTTCTGTTGTGGAATAATTTGCTTCTGCTTTGGATAGCGATCGGCTGGCGTAACTAACAACCCTTTCAAGTCCGTCAGCCCTCTGCACAAGAACGGCGCCAAGACCTACGCTGCTTGCGTCAGTATGTATTTCTGTCTCGGCGAATTCGTCGAAATGGGCAAGTAACGGAGGCGTCTGGAGGCGATGTTTAAGCTCCTGGAAAGCGTGTTCCTGTGGCGTTTCCCACTTGAACTCCGAGTCGGCCTTGGTAAGGTTAGTGAGAGGATCGGCGATGCGGGCGAAGTTTTTCACGAACCGCCTATAATAGGCGCACAGGCCCAGAAATCGGCGCACGGCCGTCTTGTCAGTGGGCGGTGGGAAGTCGGCGATGGCGGCTGTTTTCCGTGGATAGGGATGAACTCCAGACTTGCTGATAACGTGCCCCAGAAACAAGAGCTCCTCATACGCAAATCTGCACTTTTCTGGCTTCAGTGTGAGTCCGGACGTCTTGATGGCTTGAAGTACAGCTTCAAGGCGCCGAAGATGCTCGTCGAAACTCGAGGAAAACACGACGACGTCGTCCAAGTACACAAGGCAAGTCTGCCACTTCAATCCTGCCAGTACTGTATCCATAACGCGTTGAAAAGTTGCAGGCGCTGAGCAAAGGCCGAAGGGCATCACCTTAAACTCGAAGAGGCCGTCCGGTGTTATAAACGCCGTCTTCTCTCGGTCTCTTTCGTCGACTTCGATTTGCCAATAGCCAGTCTTGAGGTCCATTGACGAGAAGTACTTGGCGTTATGGAGCCGATCAAGTGCGTCGTCTATTCGTGGGAGAGGATACACGTCCTTTCTTGTGATTTTGTTCAGGCAGCGATAGTCGACGCAGAAACGTAGGGTCCCATCCTTTTTCTTCACTAACACAATGGGGGATGCCCACGGACTCTTGGACGGCTGGATAATGTCATCTCGCAGCATTTCATCAACTTGTCTCTTCATTGCCTCACGTTCTCGCGTCGAAACCCTGTACGGACTCTGACGGAGTAATCTGGCATTTTCTTCGGTTATGATTCGATGTTTCGTGATTGGGGTCTGCCGAATTTTCGATGACGACAAAAAAGCAATCTTCGTATTGCAGGAGCAGGGCCTTGAGCTGTTCTCTCTTATCGTTCGGAAGTCTGGAATTGACGTCGAAAGCTATGGGAGGGGCTTGGTTCCTCTGAGCAGGTTCCGCAGAATCTGCGAGGGCGAAAGCACTGGTGGCTTCGACAATTTCTTCGATGTATGCGACCGTTGTTCCTTTGTTCACATGTTTGTACTCATTGCTGAAAATCGTGAGCATAACCGTTGCTTTGCCTCCCCGCAGCTCTGCAATTCCTCTTGCGACGCAAATATTTCGGGTGACCAACAGATGCTGACTGCCTTCAACGACGCCTTCCAAGTCAGGTGATTTAGGAGCGCCGACTGAAATAATGACACTTGAGCGAGGCGGAATGGTGACTTGTTTTTCCAGCACATTCAAGGCATGGTGTCCTGACGGCGTGCGCGGCGGTAGTGCTTCTTCTGTGGATAACGTTATCGACCTTGTTTTTAGGTTGATGACAGCACCATGGAGGCATAAGAAGTCCATGCCAAGGATGACATCTCTCGAGCAACGCTGTAGGACTACGAAGTCTGTAGGATAAATACGGCCATTAATGGTGACTCTCGCTGTGCAGATTCCTGCAGGCGTTACGAGATGACCTCCAGCTGTGCGGATTTCAGGGCCTTTCCAAGCTGTCCTAACTTTCTTTAACTTCGCGGCGAACGACCCACTGATGACAGAATAGTCAGCTCCAGTATCGACGAGAGCGGTCACACTGTGGCCGTCGATAAGAACGTCGAGGTCGCTAGTTCGCCGTCTCGCATTACAGTTAGGGCGTGGCGTCGGGTCACGGCTGCGTCGGCTTGTTTCGCTGCTTCCATGTTGCGTCGTCAAACCACCTCCGGTAAGTGAGCTTTTGCCTTCAGGGCTTTGCCTGGTTGGTGTTGTGTTCAAAAAGCTCCGTCGCGTCGGTGTCGTCGTCGGAGGATCTTCGGTAGTTCGTCGCACAGCAACCGCACCTCCATCGGTTGCTGCCCTTAGTTTCCCGGATACGGGCTAAGAGACCGGCCCCGCGTTGGGCCAGAATACTGCCGGGGGTGCGTTGACATGCGGCGGCTGGGCGACGGCGAACGGGAAGGACTTCGTGGTGTCCATTGAGTTCCTGCCAGGTAGTCGGCGATGTCACGTGGCCGATCTCCTGGCTGCGGACGCGGTGCATTGACGGCGAAGCCACGCAGTCCCATCTGTCGGTACTGGCAACGGCGGTATGTGTGCCCGGCCTCGCCGCAGTGGTAGCAGAGCGGGCAGTTGTCAGGTGCACGCCAAACGTCCGTTTTCCTCGGTGCACTGCGCTGGCCCGCTGGGGAACGGTAGGACGTCGGTTGGGGTGGTGGCGGTGGTGGCGTCTGGCGACGGAAGTGTGACGGGGCGGCGTTTCGGCGTGGACGGGGAGGAGCGTTGTGGCGCGCTGCAGCGGCGTAGCTCATAGTTTCTGGCTCGGGCGGCGGTGTTTCGGTAATTCGAAGCGATTGCCGGACTTCTTCTCGCACAATGTCGGCGATCGAATCCACTTGAGGCTGCGCCGAAGGCAACAGTTTGCGCAGCTCTTCCCGCACGATCGCTCGGTTCGTTTCACGCAGGTCGTCGGAGTCACTGGCTTGAGCAGCAGCGCATTCTGGAGTCAGGCGACGATTATACTGTCTGGTGCGCATGTCCAGCGTTTTATCGATGGTGGTCGCCTCGAATACAAATTCTTGGACGGTGTTCAATGGATTCCTCATTAGTCCCGCGAAGAGCTCCTGTTTGACCCCTCGCATGAGGAATTTGCCCCGTCCGCGGTGGTCTAGTGGCTAAGGTACTCAGCTGCTGAACCGCAGGTCGCGGGTTCGAATCCCGGCTGCGGCGGCTGCATTTCCGATGGAGGCGGAAATGTTGTAGGCCCGTGTGCTCAGATTTGGGTGCACGTTAAAGAACCCCAGGTGGTCGAAATTGCCGGAGCCCTCCACTACGGCGCCTCTCATAATCAAATACTGGTTTTGGGACGTTAAACCCCACATATCAATCAATCAATCGCATGAGGAAACGAACTTTCTTTTCCTCGGGCATGTCTGGGTCAGCGTGACGGAATAGGCGGGTCATCTCCTCTGTGAAAATTCCAACCTTTTCATTTGGTAGCTGAACCCGGGTCTCGAGTAGAACAGCGGCCCTCTCTTTGCGAGTGACTCTTGCGAACGTTTGCAGAAATGCACCGCAGAAGACATCCCACGTTCGGAGCGTGGACTCCCGATTCTCTAGCCAGGTCCTTGCGGTGTCTTCCAGGTAGAAGTACACACGACGGAGCTTTTCTTCGTTGTCCCAGTGGTTGAGGGCGGCCACACGGTCGTATGTTTCTAGCCAGGTTTCCGGGTCTTCAAACGATGAACCATGGAACGTTGGTGGTTCCCTGGGTTGATGAATGACGATCGCAGGCTGGGACGCTCCGGTTGTCATTGTCGCTGCAGTCGAGCTCATGGTCTTGGTCTTCCGCGCCTTGTCTTGTAGAAGGCCGTACTCCGGTGGGAGACCTTGCTGTCGGCGGCTCGTTCGCTGCTCTTGGTTGGCGTCGGTGTCTTTTCCGCGACGGGGGCTGGGTTCATGGCTTGACGGGGGCGTCCGGTACATGAACGAAGCAGCACCTCCACCAGATGTCACGGGGTCGTGACGAGGCCAAAGACAGGAAACTTCGTGTTGGGATTTAACTGTTTATTTGGGCGAACCTGTGCCCGGTAAAGGGAAAGTCTAATTACAGCAGCAGTCTTGCACAGATAGCAGTCTCGGACTGATAGCGGCGAACGCAGCGTCGGCCTTCGATCAACAACTGACAAGCGGCGAAGCGCGTCGGCATTTATTCCCTTGCCGTCGAATGTTCTAGCGTTATCGCTGGCGGTGGCGTAGGTTCAAGAACAATCTGTACCGTTCGCACAGTGGGCGTGATCTTATCAAAATGATCTACTACAGTCCGGAACCTTCTCGAAACCTGCAGGCGCGGTTTGCGTCGAGAATCGTGTGGTGTTTCGGAACGATAACAAAAACTTGTGAAATGGAACGTGGCAATATGAACGTTTCGCGATCGTCGCTTTTTTGTTGTTGAAGGAAACAAATTATTTTCATGAGGTTAAAGCGAATAGTCTTCTGGACGCAGCCAGATTGCGTTACCTGCGCAGAAAGATGCTGTCCTTCCACTCCCGAAAAAGGAACTGCGCCAAGAGGTTGGCGACGATGAGGAAGCCTCGCTGTTTGCTCCAGTTACCGGGTTGCACCAGCCGCAGCAGCTTCTGCGTCATCGCAAACGAAAAGAGGTGGCGCGTATAAGCGTGGGGTAAACATGTCACCTGGTAAAATGCAGTGATCAAACTTGTAAAGCTTTCCCCTTGCTCTAGGCTGTTCGCCTTCGTTAACATATTGCGGAGCATCAACAGGAGCTAGAATTAGCTCCAATGAAATAGCTCTATGTCTGGAGATATTCGTGAATACAGATCTTCTTTTGTCAAGCTAGAGACAGAGAAGCAGTCGACTTCCGAAGTCCTTAATAGTGAGGTGAATTACCGGCACACTTCTTGTACTGGTCACTTGATTGTCTGCGATGCTCCACGCCGAAATTCGCACCCTTAAGCGAAAAGTCTACGGGCTTCACTAAGATGCGAATTTCCACCGTGTTAGTGCTCGAAGCACCTAATCTACTGGTATACCAGAATAGGTTGCAAGAACGTCTTTGGCTGAGACATTTCATTCAGGCCTATGTTCTCACACTGTATGGAGGTATAGCATTTTCGAAAATTTGGTGTCCAACGGAATTTTGGTGGAAGGTGTACAGGTAATGACGTGAAGATATATGTATGTAACATGTGAAACGAACGCAATGGGAAGCTGTGAGGTGCCTCTTTAGAAGTGCAGATTATCGCCCAACAACGCGACTGACAGAAAAAGCCGTTAAGTGGCAGGTGTGCGTTCATTATTAGCATTGGGGTAAATATTTAGCTCCTAGCTTACAACCAGCAGTGGTACCTTTGTGGCTGCAATGCTTGAGTACAAGGGCTTAAATCCTGGTCACGGCGGCCGGATTTTTATATAGGGCGAAGTACACAAAATCAATCAATCAATCAATCAATCAATCAATCGATCACTCAATCAATCAATCATGTACTTAAAATTTAGGTGTGCATAATTTAATTCAAACTGCGGCCTTGGGATTTACGTTTAACGCGACGTCTACTATACCAATTCCAATGTAACGATTCGCGACCCACAGTGCATCATTTTATGCGCTGTCAGTATACCTTATATGCGGCCCTCACCTGAGGCAAATGAATCGGAAGGAACTTTGTGAAAGGCTTGGTGCGTGGCCTAGGTGGGAGATTCACGGACTTCCAGAAGCCGAATATCTCCAAGGCTATCATGAAGAAAGCACCGACGACGAACCCCACGACCACACTGAGGTAGATCAAGATCTGCATGGCGTGGACTTGGTTCAGCACGGGGCAGCGACAAATCGCCAGTCGCATTCGCTGGTCTCGTCCTTGATTGCCTTACTCGCTCCTCTCGAGGCTCATGCACACGCGCTGATGCTGCTACTGATGATGGTAATGTTCTTTTACATGTGGCTCGTATCTCCACTGTTGCATTGAAAAATGTTTCATATGAAGTTTTCAATATGTACACTATAGCAACTGATAATTAAACACAAAATAAAGGTAATGGTATCAAGGAAGAATTGCAATAATTATTTACTTATACATTCAGACCAAACGGCTATATAGTTATCGAGAAGATAAATTAAAATAAGTAAATTCAAGTGGAATCCAACTTATTTTTCATTTATTTTTAATTATTGGCGCATTAGTTATATCTCATAATTATAACACTTGTAATACTTATGCGGGCCGCTGCTAATGATGATGATGCTTCTACCTTGGCTCATACCCATGCAGGGGGATTGGCGAAGAATTGATTATATGAATTATTTAGACATTCGAAGCAGTAAATATTATTTTATTTATTGATATATTTCTATATTTCAATTTACTGCAGGCCAGCTTGGCCCTATCAGGATGGGCTGTACACACAAAAGAACAAAATACAAGGATAGCCTAATTCATCATCGTCATCATCATCATAATCATAATAATAATCATCATCATGGTCATCATCATCATGAGCCTGACTACGTCCACTGCAGGACGATTCCTCTCCCATGTTCCGCCATTTAACTTGGTCCTGTGCTTGCTGCTGCCAATTTATACCCGCAAACTTCTTAATCTCATCTACCCACCTAACCTTCTGTCTCCCCCTAACTCTCTTGCCTTCTCTGGGAATCCACTTAGTTACCCTTAATGACCAGCGGTTGTCCTGTATACGCGCTACATGCCCGGCCCTTGTCCATTTCCACTTCTTGATTTCAACTATTATATCCTTAGCCCTCGTTTGTTCTCTAATCCACTCTGCTCTCTTCTTGTCTCTGAAGGTTCCACCTACCATTTTTCTCTCCGTCGCTCGCTGTGTCGTCCTCAATTTAAGCTCAACCCTCTTTGTAAGTCTCCAGGTTTCTGCTCCGTGGCTAAGTACCAGCAAGATACAGCTGTTATAGCTTCCTCTTGAGGGATAGTGGCAATCTACCTTTCATAACTTGAGAGTGCTTGCCAAATGTGCTCCACCCCAATCTTATTCTTCTAGTTACTTCAATCTCGTGGTTCGGCTCCACGGTTATTACCTGCCCTAAGTAGACATAGTCTTTTACAACTTGAAGTGCACTATTACCTATCTCGAAGCGCTGCTCTTTTCCGAGGTTGTTGTACATTACTTTCGTTTTCTGCAGATTAATTTTAAGACACACCTTTCTGCTCTCCTTGTCTAACTCCGTAATCATGAGTTGCAATTCGTCCCCTGAGTTACTCAGCAATGCAATGTCATCGGCGAAGCGCAGGTTACAAAGGTACTCTCCATTAACTCTTATCTCTAACTGTTCCCATTCTAGGCTTCTGAAAACCTCCTTTAAGCACGCGGTAAACAGCATTGGGGAGATTGTGCCCCCTGCCTTACACCCTTCTTGATTGGTATTCTGTTGCTTTCTTTATGAAGCACTATGGTAGCAGTTGATCCCCTGCAGATTTCTTCCAGGATGTTTATATATACCTCATCGACGCCCAGATTCCGCAATGTCTGCATGACGGCTGATATTTCTACTGAATCAAACGCCTTCTCGTAATCTATGAAGGCTATGTATATAGTGGTTGGTTATATTCTTAGCATTTCTATATTACCTGCTTGATAGTATGAATGTGGAAGCTTAATACATGCAATGATACAATTTTGCACATGGGTGCATAAAATAGGGTACGTATAACGATTGGTGCACAAGATTATTCCTGGTGTGGCAATGTGCACTTGGGGTTCACGTAAGCACCACATGGCTGATGGTGAACGCGCGGAGGGTGTGAAACCTGGCGGTAGAAAAGCGTGGTGAGAGCGGACGACATTGGAGGACGACGCCTGTGGTGATAGTTCTGGAAGGTATTGCGAATGGTTTGGCGTCATCCGTGAAGTATGTTCAATATGAAATCTCAGTGCGATGGCTGAACATGCAATCTCAGTGCCGTTCAGGCTGCCAAGGTGCTTCGTGGTAGTCCGAGGCAAACACGTAGTGCCTGTGCTTGCTTGCACGCTTTGAAGTGCATGAACACTTAACATGAACGTTTTAAAAAGCACGGGAGAACTATAGCGTAGTAGTCCAGAAAGAAGTGCTTGTTATAGTTGTAGCATGCAAGTCGGGGATGGACTCCGTGTTTCTCGGCGACGAATTACAAGACATGGGCAAGAGATACGAGTTTTGCTTTCAAGTAAGAGAAGTGAGGGCTCCAGGACATGTCTCCGTCCACAATGGCACCTAAAGTACGATGACATCATTTGTAAGAGATAGGCTGGCCATTAACGCATATTGGGTAACTTGTCATCGCCTCTCACATGAATGCCACCAGCGCAATTTTTTCTGTTGAGATTGTTAGGCCTTGCTTGCGAAGATGGTCAAATGCCTGTTACGCTGCCTTCTGTAGCCTTGCCCGAACCTGTAGGTGTGTGACTGCTGATGTCCAGACGCAGATGACATCAGCATGTATTGAAATACTGTCTGTTTCCGGGAGCGCTTCCGCCATACCAAGCACGACAAGGTTGAATAGAACCGGGCTAAAGACCCACGACAATGGTAGTGGTCGGAGGTCACATCATCTTCAGTATCTACAAAAATTATTGTTGTGCCACGTAACCTCCTATTCATTGAACTATTAACTCTTCCTGCTCAATAAATACAAGCGGGTCTGATATAGTTTGGTGGAAAATGTTGTCATAAGCTCCTTTAACATCAAGAAAGAGCGCAATCGCTAGTCATTTTCTGCATTTCTGCTGCTCCACTAACGACACATGATTGGTGATGTTATCAGTCGATGAATCGCCTCATCAAAATCTCACCGATTAACTAAACAAAAATGCCCGTGCAACTTTCGGACATTACTGAATACGTGTAGTTTTGACAGAGATTAAGGACCTTAAAAGGATGGCGATGCTACGCGCACGAGCGTAGACCCTGTAGCGTTGTTCACGCACGAGTCAGTGGCTTGCATGAGTCTAACGAATCGCAATAAATTTTCCATCTTTAGTCCTGTAGCGTGTCGATTCTGCGAACAGAACGAAAAATATCCGGCGAGGGACCCGGCTGCGTCGGTGCTAATGCTTCTCCGACAAGCGTCAACCCTGCGGGGAAGGTGTTCTTGTGGTGTTGGTTGGAGCCTTGGAGGAAGATAAGCCTCAAGTGCGAAGGACGATAAAGAGGCTTTCTCAGATCACAACTCGTACCAAGAAGCCTTGAAGGAAACCTATTCAGATGTTTGGAAGGGATTTGCCGTGGGAACCGAATTTGCCTTGCTTTCGGAATCAAACCTGGTACAACGCGTTTACGAAGACACTGGAGTCACGATCTATGCTAAGCCTGATGCAAGGTGTCCGCTACTGTGGAGCAGCGCTTATGGTGCTCTGCTGCTAACCTAAAGACCATGAGTTCTACTATTTCCACGGCAGTCGGATTTCCACGGAAGCGAAATGCTAGACGCCTTGTACCTTGCCATGCCAGATCACATTAAAAAAAATACCAGATGGTCGAAATTTGGGGAAGCCTCCCATACGACATGCTTCATAAATAATGATATTGCTGTTTAGGCTCATAAAATTTCAGATAATTTTAGATGCTAGAATATGGCAAAGGTAAGCCTAATTTATTGACATACTGAAGTAGGGAAGCACGCCAGCGGCGAAATGGAATGCCGTCTCTATGAATGTCTGTTTTTTATTCATTCATTCATTCATTCATTCACTGTTTATTCAGACAAAAACAATGATTGCCTAGGTTGAAGGGACTAAAGGCAGATTACCTCTGCCTGACTAAGGTCCCTCCACCCATACATTTGCTCAGGTAAAGTGGAACAAAGGATACAAATTTCATTCTGCTTATAACAGCCTTCTTTTCCGCAGAACTTTGAAGTCACGGATTTTTTGAAGAACTAGTGTCGTTATGCACGAAGCACGTGTGCTGGCTGTGCATTAACTTTATTTCACTAACCAAGGCAAGTCAATAAGCACGAGAAACCAATATTAGGCTACCTGTGGTCTGGGGTTAGAGCTTTTGTTTGTGTGTGGGGAAGTTTGTTGCAGCGTCTCCCACTCGCTTCGTTGGACGGACTTGACAGGTCTGACTGCAATATCAGCCGCACAGACAACTCCTCCTCTTCTCATTTTAGAAGAGCAAAGATTCTTTCTCTGCAGTTGCCAAATACCAATTGCCATGATTGACGGTTTCTAATTAGTGGTAAGGTCCACCGAGCGTCATGCCTTCTCGACGTCTCCCCACCCATAAAGTAAGGGCACAGAAACACAGAGATAAGAGAGAAATTGGGAGCGTTCTCCTTAGAGAGCAAGGCTTTGCTGCGTTTTCATTTTTGTAATTAGATGAATAGATGGATGGAGAAAGATTTCCGAAATAGTAATCACTGGGGTTGTAGTCCCCTATATTGAACCCTGCACATATTCCATTCGAAGCTGTAGCCGCTGGAAGAAGCAAGATGGTACTAACGGCATAAAAAAAATCCCGCTCACACTGATGCATATACTCTCATACACTTCAGTTTTTCAGCGGAAAATGTAATCATCCTGAAAGGTTATGATGCACTCTGTATTTCGGAAATTTACGAGAAACCTTCTCCGTTTCCATGGTTTCAATTTTACAATGGTTGTCGTTATCACGCCATAACTAAAAGATCCACCCACATCTGTGTGCAATCTCTTCGAGTGCGCAAAGAGATGGGAAAATTTAGCTCACTACAAAAAAAATAGAAGAAAAGAAAAAGTGATTTCATTTCCGAGTCTCTATCTCTGGTTCTTATAACGTCGAGTCGCTTCTCATATAAACTGGGTA